ACGTATTCACGTGACTTTAATAACATTTCTTACTTAATGGAAACACTGCAGTTGTAAAACTGTGTTTTTTCAACATTAACAGAAAATCGACAAAGTTTTGCGCACATTTGCAATGGAAACACAGCTGATGTGTTCATTAAAGCAGGGGTTGTCAAAACAGGGACACACACACACACACAAACAATGCTACAAAATGTGTAAAGAAACATCATTTTTAGACAGATTTTCTCACTTTTTTCCACTGTTCAATATTATTACATTTATTTAGCATTAGAATTTTATTAACATGTTTTAATCACTTTTATATTCCCACTGAAAAACCACCTTTTTAACAAACTGTTGATAAAAGCAGAACAAACGAAAGCAAACCTCTCTAAACTATCTTGAAAAGCATTTCAAATGTTATTAAAGGGGCAATGTCTTGTAAAATGAACTTTTTCTGAAGGAGGTTTTTAAAGAGACAGAAGCCAATTTGAAGGTGTTTATAAACAGATATGATGTGAAGAAAACTTTATTTTCTATTTAAACATATAAACAACATTTTAATAACAACTGAAGGTGACATACAGTAGTTACTTTATTATAGTACAGAATTTAAATATTTTCCTGAGAAACACATAATATTGTCCCTTTAAAAATTGTTATAAAATAAAGATTGAAAAATAGTTTTAGATAACGATTTAAAATATCAAATTTCAATTTTATTTTATTATTTTTGCATTTTTTCTTATCTTCCCTCCAGCTTTCTGAGGCCCCACTGGCAGCCTCCTTTTTGAAAAACACTGCATAAAAGAACTCAAAGATAAATAAGTTTTAATTTCCTGCTCAAATCTTATCACTCGTCCAGAACTAGGAACATTCTGGCTCTTTGTTTCCAACATTTGTTCTGAGCAGATGGAAACTGGGAACATTTTGAATAAATCTTTCTGAAACAGTAAAAAAGAGATAGGAGTGTCATTTGATTATATGACACAACATCTTGCCATACCTCATACAACTTCAGTGTCAGTATTTGCTCAGATTGTTGTCACTAAACCTACTCCATGTAGACGTGCCGGAGGGTTTCTAACCGACAACCTGCCTCCTCCATGTCTGTGTCCTGACAGAAGCTTCAGCAGAGGCGACTCAGATCATCTCAGCCATCAGTGAGGTTCCATCGGTTCCTGCTCCATGTGACAGCCAGGCAGCAGCAGGACCAGGTCAGTCCACTCACAGCTCATCCTGTCAGCAGTGTCGTCTCACATCAAAGTCTGTTTTAGATAAATGTCTCATCAGCCACTGGATGGATTTAATGAAACATTCAAAACGTCATCTTTTTGATGAGTGTCTACAAACGATTAACTTCTGAGTCACTGCGTTTACCATGACTTTTAGTTAGAAAGAAAAAAATTGTGTAAGTCTTCTGGACGGGTTCTTCTCTAACGAAACGTTTCGTTTCTCCTCCAAGAGACTTCAGTCTGAGAGTTTCAGGCAAAATTCAGGCTTTTAAGCCCTGCGTCCATGTGATTGATACTCACATCACATGGCTATCGTTGACACCTAATTAACACCTATTGTTAACAGGCGGTGGAGTGATACTGCCAATGGCAGCGCTGTAGGAGGAGGACAGCTGAAAACGGAGGCCCCCACCTCTGTTTAATGACGGACGGTCTTTAGAAGACTTAAAGAAGAACCCGTCCAGAGGACCTATACAATTTTTTTCCTTTGATTTTTTACCTGGATTACTGAGATGCATCAGGACAGCATTCTAGATGTTTAAAAATGAGTTTTGGCTACGAACAACTACATTTTGACTATCCTAAATGG